TGAGAAAAACAGAATGAACTCAAATAAATAACCTAATGTTGAACCTCAAGCTTCTAGAAAAAGAAGAGAGAGTCAAGCCTAATCGTACAAGGGAAGAAATTCTGAAGATCAGAGCAAAAATGCAATGGAAACTAAGAAAACAATACAAAGAATCAATGAATCAAAGAATTGGCTCTTTGAAAGATTAAAGTGACAAGCCCTTATCCAACCTTATCAAAAAAAGGGAAAGACTCAAGTCCATGCAATTAGGAATGAAAAGGGTGAAATCACAATAAATCCTGAAGAAATCCAGATCTTTAATACCTATTTTGAGAACCTGTATTCTAATACAATGGAGATACAGAAGAAATGGACAGATTCCTAGATACCTATGAGTTGCCAAAGCTGAGATCAGTCAATGAAGTTGAAAATGTAATTAAAATCTTAATAAAGAAAAGCCCAAGTCCTGACAGATTCACTGCTGAATTCTATAAGAAATTGAGAGATCTCATGTCACTACTCTGCAAACTCTTTAATGACACTAAAAGGGGGCACAAATCCCCAAACTAATTCCTGGAAGCAAGCATTACTATACCAAAACCAGAGAATGATCCAACCAAAAAAGAGAACCACAGGTCAATCTCCTTAATGTACATAGACATAAAAATCTGCAATAAGATACTGGCAAAGAGAATGCAGCGAATCATCAAGAAGATTATACACTATAACAAAAGGATGCAGGGACGGTTCAACAAACACAAATCAATAAATGTAATACACCATGTTAACAGAGTCTAATACAAAAACCGTATGACCACCTCAACAGATGCAGAAAAGTGTCTGATAAAATTCAACACCCATTCATGATAAAACTCTACAGAAAATTGGAACTCATAGTCTTTATCTCAATCTGATAAAAGCCATCCATAACACACCAACAGTCAACATATTACTAAGTGATCAAAAACTGAAAGCTTTCACTCTAAAATCGGGAACAAGAACAGGATGTCCACTATTACCACTCTCGTTCTATGTAGTTCAAAAAACATTAGCCAGAGCAATTAGACAGGAATTAGAAAAGGAAAAAGACAGAAAAGAAGTTAAATTATTTTTTGAGCACGACATGATACTCTATGTAGAAAACCTCAAAGGTTTCATCAAAAGATTGCTAGGTTTAATAACCAAATTCAGTAGTGCAGCTGTATACAAAACTCAGCCTTCCTGTACAAAAATAAACTCACTGAGGCAGAAATTAAGAAAACTACACTTTCATAATAGCATCCAAAAAAATGAAATACTTCAGACTCAATTTTTTTTTTTTTTTGCTTTTTGAGACTTCCTGCCTTGAATTCACAAGCCAAGGCTTGCCTTGAACTCAAAGTGATCCTCCTGCCTCGGCCTCCTATGTGCTGGGCTTGCAGGCATGCACCACGTGCCCAGCAGGAACCAATCTAATGAAGGCAGTAGAAAATCTTTACATCGAAAACCACAGTACTCTGAAAAAGGAGTTTAAAGAAGATATCAAAAAATGGAACGATATCCTTATTCTTAGGTAGGAAGAACCAATAAAGTAAAATGGCTGAAAAGTGTTATACAGTTAATGAAAACCCAATCAAAAACCAATCTCATACTCACAGAATTAGAGGAAACAATTCTACAATTTGGCACCAGAAGAGACCTAGAATAGCAAAAGCAATTCTAGGCAACAAAGGCAAACCAGGGGACATCCTGACTTGAAATTATACAACAAAGCTATAGTGATAAAAACAGCGAGCCAGACCCAAGCCTCTTTCTAAATCAGTGCCATTCGCAGACTACAGCGGGAGAGAACCAGGCTTCCCCAGGAAGCAGTCCCTGCCTGGAAATCACATCATACTCAGTTTTGTTGGGTTGGGTTTTATTCTCTTTGGTTTTGCTTATGTTAAATCCGACGGCATGAGCAGCTATTTAAAAGTCAGTAAGACATATTACGTAGCCATTTTGGATTTACTATTGGCTTGTTTTGAAGTCCTTTACTGTATTCATTGTTTTGTTTTTATTGTTTCTAATCTATTCTGTTCTGTTGATTTTTTTCTATGTCTGAAGGTATCTGCAGCTATTTTGAAAACAACAAAAGGCATTAATTATGGTAACTATTGTTGATTTTGTAAGGTTTTGAATCCTGTATCAGTTATATTGGTTTATTTGGATTGGTTTTATTGTTTTATTTGCCTGGTTTTATCCTCTTTAAAAATTAAAAAAAAAAAAAAAAAAAAAAAAACTCAGCACGGTGGAATGGGAGGGAGGACAAAAACACCAACGCAAGGATCAGTGGACCAGACTAGAAGCTGCAGAAGGAACTCCAGACGTGCTCAGCCACTTTATCTTCGACAAAGGAACCAAACATCTTCACTGGGACACAGTCTCTTTAATAAATGGTGCCTGAAAAATGGGTTTCCCACGTTACAAAGACGACAGCTAGACCCACATCTCTTACCATGCAGTAAACTAAAATCAAAATGAATCAAAGATCTAAGTATTAAAACAGAAACACTAAATCTGCTGGAAGATAGAAAAGGTAGAACTCTTAAAGACATAGGTAAAGGCAAAGATTTCATGAACAAAACCCTTAGAGCACAAGAAATATCACCAAAAATCAACAACTTGGAGCTTATTAAGAAGCTTTTACACAGCAAAAGAAACTACCAGTGGAGTGAAGGGTCAATGCCCACAGTAGGCAAAGTCAGGCCACAGTTCCTGAGATAAAGGACTAATGCCTAGAATGTAGAAAGAACTCAAAAATTGGACCCCTCAAATTTAAAGAACCAGTCCAAAAATGAGCATTTCTCAGATCAAGTATAAATGGTGAATATATGAAAAAATGTGCAAAATTACGGGTCATTTGAGAGATGCAAACTAAAATACTGAGATTTCATCTGCAAGAAAATGGTACTTTTAAGCAATCAACCAACAAATGCTGGCAGAGCTGCGGGGCAAAAGGAATCCTTTCTACTGTTGGGGTATAGACAGTGGCAACCACTATAGAAACCAACGTAGGGAGTCTTCAAAAAGCTAAAACTAGAGATTCCATTTTACCAGACTATCACCCTCTTCTTGGTAGTTTCCCCCCAAAATTAAAAGCATCATACCACAGCAAGGTATGCATATCCATATTTATAACAGCTAAATCTTGAAAACAGCCAAATCCATCAACCAATGTGAGATATTTCTATATAAAGGGACGCACCTTAAAATCATACTCTTAGGTGAAATAAATCAGACACGTATGTTCAAGTATCTCATGGCTTCTCTGGTGTGATAAACCAAAAGTATAAATAAGGACCAAAGTGTATAATTAAGTATTGTGAAAGCAAGAAAATATTCAAATGGGAAGAGGACGGGGGGGGGGGGGGAGGAGAAAAGTGGAAACAGTTTCTGTAAATAAGGAGGATAAGGAAGGTAAAAGGGAGAGACAGAAGGGAGAAAAAGGACAATCAAGATGTATCATATACAGGAATAAATTCCATATGATGAATGTAATCATTTTTCTATCTAAAATGTACCAGTAAAATTAAAGAAAAACGCCTCACATTGGAGTATAATCCCCCCCCCCCCACTTTTTTCGGTATCAGCGATCAAACTCATGACCTTGCACTTACAGGCAAGCCCCTGAACCCGAGTTAAATCCCGGCTTTCATCCTAATTCTCAGTGTGGTGGACTGACAACTGGTGGTCAGTCAATCTGTGACCCCCAGCTGAACTGAGTCAGCAGGTGCTGGGAGTGGAAGGTCCAACTGAGGATTGCTGCCAACAGCGTAAACAGGAGAACTGGAGAGGAAGGAGGAAGAAGCGGTGGTGTCGGTTCTCCTGGTGCTATCAGTTCTGGAAGCGCTTGTCATGCTGGCTTTCCTGATATGAATGCGCCTGTCCTCATCACTGGAGGAGCTTGGGACCGCACTGTTGCTGGGGATAGGTACAGTACTTTCTGGGACATCTCTGGTCCCTACTTTTGAGTATGGCTTCCTGGCTCTGGAGGGGAAGATGCTGTGCTATTCAATCTCCTGGAAAAGCTTGTCACACTGGTGTTTCTTATAGGAACTCGGCTGCCCTCCTTGTCAGAGGAGCTAGAGACCTCGCTGTCACCAGATGGCTGTGGTACTTTTTGGGGAAGCTCTGGTCCTTACCTTGAAAGTTGCTTCTGGCTCCAGTACAGACCTCTCAGGCTGCTGGCACAGATCCTTCACCCCACTGGCACAAACTTTCTAGCTTCCACCTCTGGGCCTTCCCAGTGCCAATCCGTGAAACAGACTTGCATGGGACATTATTGTGGGCTCTAGGTCTTCAGCTGGGCTCATGCAGGATGTTGCCGCGGGATCCAGGCCTCAGCTGGATTTTTTGGGTCTATACTGTGTGGACCAATTTCCTTCACTTTTTTAAATTTGACTCTCTGGGTGACTATCATAAAATGATCCTATAAATTATGTGTCCTGCATTAAATTCTTTTCCTTACAAATTGTGACATAAACAGGTACAAAGAAGCTGGATACTTAATCCAACAATGGCGTTGAGAGGTGGCCTTCGGGAGGAGATTAGGATTAGATAAAGCCATCAGCACGGAGCCCCATGCCTGGAAACTGTGGCTGTATGCACAGGCTCTCTGCACGCCACGCTCTCTGCTGCCTCAGGGCTCTGCCTGCAAGAAGCCCCTCACCAGATGTGGCTCTCAACGCTGCAGCACAACCATGAACCGAAATAAACTCTTGTGCTATTGGCAACAGAAAATGGACTAAAGCATAACCGATTCAGTTTTGAGGCGGGAACAATGTGAGAATAATGCACGAATGTACTTTGAAAAGAGAAGTCAACATACAGTATAAAGTCAGTAACAACATTTAATAGTGAAATCTGCATTTCCAAGGATGAAGGCTTAATAAACACCAAAAAGTGTTTTCTTATATAGGTTGGAAAACTGACTAACAGATTTCTCAAAGTAAACGCGACCTGCTTCCGAATTTTGCCCCCGGCTGTCCCAGAGCACTCACCTGAATGGGGGTCCCGCAGCAGGGGCAGCTCTTTGAGTTCTTCTCCAGCCACTCCTTACTCTCCATCTCTTCCAGAGCCTTCTGAATCACCCTCTTACCATACCTCTGCTCCAAAAACCTCTTACTGGCTTCGTCTGCTTGCAGGTACTCATTTCGTAAATCTATTAATTTTTCTAGAAAGTGAAATAGGAAATTAAGTTTTATACAACTGCTTTACTGAGTAAAAATTACTTACAACACCCATCATCTCTGACCACTCAATAATGCTATTCCTGGGACTTTATCAAAAGAAGGTAATCCAAAGTAACATCATAGGCATAAAGATGGACACAACGGTTAACAAGTTACATTTCCAAGGCAGTAAGTGTGAAAGAACCACTTGATGACATGATGTCCAGTTATTAAAAACTGAAGAATCAAGTCAGGATGGCTGTTACCCAAACACTTATAAAATCCAGAAAAAATACATTTATAACTAGGTCAAAACTACCTGAACACAAATGACAAAGTAGGGAGTAAAGGAATCCCCCCACTAGAAAAACTGGGCTTGATAAAGGTGATGTTAATTCTTTCCTTTGATTTTGATTCCTAAATGTGGATACATTTATGCAACTGGCACAGTTAAACACTGGTGTACAAAAGAGCCAGAGGCTGAAAGTGATTTTTCAGTAGGTCAGCACCATGTACCTTTTCATAATGAACAAAGGCTTAACAAATACACAAGGCACTTTTGGCCTCTGCAGATACAAGGCAAGTCCGATTTACTGTCCTCAGCCTCACCCTGAACTAGGCCGTGTCACAGGCACCGAGTTCTTCCTGGCAGCTTTTGACCTTCATATTCTTCATCTGGCTTCTATTGCTCTGACATTCAACTCTAATGAAACAGGCCACCACTAACAAAGGCTGGACCTGTAGAAAAGTAGTTTTGTTCCCAATTCTATTGCCTTAAATTTTCAACACAATTAAAGACCTGTCTCAATACTGTCTTTTAGTCTAATTTTCTCTTATTATTTAGAGGCTTGTCTCCCTTTTAAGCAATGGACATTGTCGGAGGCAGAGCCCTACCTGCTCTTTCCCTTCACCTGTAAATTCTTAATGCTTTGTGCATTTTCAGTGTTCCGTAGCCTCTATTTTGATGTATCAAAGATGTTTTTAATATTGTAATTCTTATCTAATAATTCAAAGCATTTTTGTGCTCCTACATATCTTAAGGACAAAAGTTACTGCTGTAATGTTCTCAATACAATTCTTAGCATTTCATATTTTATCTAATATCTATTCTATAAAAAGACAGAGTGAAGTTTCTAATTTCACTGAAGCCTCTACCGTATCTTCCATTTCTTCTCTGAATGCTGTGATGCACCTAAACTGTCCTACAGCCTCTCAACCGGAAGGTTACAGAAGCAAAGGCTTAATTTATACTTTAATATAACTTAAACTACAACTGCTCTTATTCTCTGCAAGACTCTGCCATAGGCAACTGGAATTCTTATTCTCTTAGGTACTTTCTTGGAAATAAAGATACTCTGCTAACACTAGCAATTAGTAACTATTACAATGATGATGTTACCATTTTTACATTTTAAATATATTAACCCGTTTCTCAAAATATAGTGAAGAAGCAGATTTCCCCCTCAATCTGTGAAGCATTAATACTTCGGAAAATATAGTCAAATGGATTAAAAAAAATAAAGACAAGAAGTTCAAGGCTCTGAAATTCCTAACCAAGATTTTCACCTTGATACTCTATTTACCTTGTTATAGACTAGTGTCACTGTAACTGTGTTTTGTTTTGTCTTTTTGAAACAAGGTTTCCCTATGCAGTTCCAGCTATCTTGAACTCACTTTGTAGCCCAGGCTGGCCTTGATCTTACAGCAGTCCTCCTGCCTCCAGCTCCTGAGGCCTGGCTCTCAGGTGTGCACCTATCTCCTCCTTAGCACTTACTGCCACCCAATATCCTCACTTATTTTGTTTGCCTGTTAGCTCCCCTAGTGTGTATGTTCCATGAGGACAGAAGTTTGTATCCCAAGAGTGCAGGATAGCAAATGACACCAAAGTATCTGTTGAATCATATTTCTAAATTTGGGGACTCAAATCTTTGTCAAGGGATAGGGTATTTGAGCTCACACAGTTACAGCATACCTGCAGTTACCTTACATGGAGAGACCCCATGGTAGGTCAATTTGCACAGCGTACAGAAGGCAAAATTGCAGCTGGAGCAGATGGCCATGGTGCAGCCGGGCTCCTGCATCACGGGCAGCCGGCAGCAGGGGCGGGGGCAGTACACCACATCTGCCATCAGGTCCAAGGTGGACTGGAGGAGAAGGCGGTCATACCGGGCAAATAACTCTGCTTCCACAAGCTCTTTGACCTGGAGAGAGATACAAAACATCATAGATCTGATCCTGACCAGTTCTCAGCCTGAGAAGTCTTTGAATGCTCGTATAAACCAGATGGTCAAGAAATTAAAACCCCTATCTCATTTCAGAATCAAAGTAAGTACGAGAATATTCATGTCCATCCTGTGGCCAACCATTTCTTTCAGTGAAATCATCTTGAGCCACATATATACTGAATATACATAACATGGTTAATATATAGCTCATGTATAAAACAGTTAATGTGTATAAAAACTTGCTTTATTTTTGAGACAGGCTGGCACTATGCAGTTCAAGTTGGATTTGAACTCACTATGTAGCTCAGGCTGGCCTTAAACTTTATCCTGAGTGCTGGGACTACAGGGATGCACCTCCACACCTGCTTAGAAACCTCCTTTTTTAATATTTATTATAACATCAGAGAGAGAAGGAAAAAACCCAGCAGGCAGAGGCTGGACAGGCCTGGACCTGGCGTGGGAGCTGCACAGGTCTACATATTTTTCAAACTAAGCAAACTGTAGAAATTAAATGGGTAGTTGATTGTTCACTTGAAATAAAAACAAGTAGGCATTACTTATGCTAACAGATACACAAAGTAACTCATCAGATTTCTTAATTATATTTTTATCACCCCTCCAAGACCACCAAAGGAGGCATTTATACTTGCTTAGATGATAAAGACCACGTTTTTTGTTGTTGTTTTGCGGCAGTGGGGACTTAACCCCGGGTCTCTGTTTACCTCCAGCACTTATCTGTATCATTCTGAGAGACACAGTCACACTAAGTTGCCCACGCTGAGCTCAAACTTGTGATACTTTTACTTAGCCTCCAACAGCGCTGGGACAGCAGATGTGCACCCCCTGGCCACAGCATTACTAATAGATACAGTGAAACAACTTGTAAGCTGGCTCTGCGATCTTAGACTGCACTACGAGCCCTAGCAGGAAAATTCCGGAGATGTCTTTCTTTGTGAAAGAGAACAGGAGGCAGTGCTTCACAGGGTAAATTACCTGACCAGGAGTGGCCACTGAAGTGCACTTTGGTTCTGGGCAGCTGAGACACTGAACTTGGCCATCTTTGATCTGGATTTCAAAGTAGTCTTTCAGACAAGCTTTGCAGTACACATGCCGGCACTCCAAGAAGTACATGCACTCACTACCCAGCTTCTCACAGAAACAGATATTGCACAGGAATAATTTACTATTAAAACATTTCCTCTGCTGAGCTTGATCGAAGTCCAAGATTTCCTGGATTAGACTTGACAACGATTCCACGTCCTGTACAGCTCTCTCATCCACTACTTCTTCTTGGTCTCCATCAGATCCGACAGCTCCTCCACAATCTACCTCTGTGCTGGGACAGGCTGGAGCTGTCCTCCTCTGCACATTTTCCTGAGAACCAATCTTGAGCTCAAAGGGAGAGACAATATTCAGATATGCTAAGGTCTCTTCTTTAAGAAACTGCATCCAGGCAAAGAGGACCACGCTGCCTCGGTGCTCTTCCCACAGGTTGTCTAAGTGCTTGCAGAGCGCAGAGAGCTAGGAAAAAGCAATGAAGGTTCGTACTGTGAATTTGGAAAGGTAAAAGCTCTGAACTCCTGTCTCCATTCCACTCTTTGAAACTTGTTAAATTAGCCCCTTACAGGTCTTAATACCCTCTACTGTACGGACCCGAAACTGCTACAAAACATAACCAAATTCTCATCAAAGGACTTCGCAAACTACTCAGCAACACAAACCGCAGAACACAAAAAGTACCACACAAACAGGAGAAATGCCAAAACTCCCTAAGACACAGAAACCTTTACATGAGAGCCTTTGAAATGGAGAATGTTTTCTGTTCATTTTCCTATTTTTGTGCTGTAGCTCATGTTGGAGAAAGAGACATACCTATTTGTTTTATTTTTGGGTTTTTTAAAGACACAATCTCACTGTGTAGCTCAGGCTGGACTTGAACTTGCAGCAATCCTCCTGCTTCAGCCTCCCAAATGTAATCCTAGATTACTGGTGTGTACCACCATGCCTGGTGGAGATCTACCTCGAAAATGAATTTTATCTCTTCCCTCAGGTGGCCTAGCTCTGCAGGAACCCTGGAATAATGATCAGACCACACTTTAAAATTACCATCCAGAGCTAGAGATGAGTGGTAGAATAGTTGCCTACCATGCACGAGAAAAGGTAAAAGCCCTAGGTATGATCCCCAGTACCACAAAAAACATACATACAAAAAAAACCCCAAAAAACAAGATAAATAAAATCCAGGAAACAGAAATATTTTCAGTGAAATGTTTGGAAAATTGGATATTCACATCTGGAACAATGAGATTATACCCTTTGTTTCTCATCAGTCACAAAATCAATTCAAATTAAAAATTTAAATGTAAAACCTGAAAATGCGTAACTATAGAAGTTAGAAATGCTTTGAGACATTGGAATACACATGAACTTTCGGGACAAGATTCCAAAACCACAGAAAATATGAGCAAATATAAACAAATTTGACTGCATCAAATTAAAAAACCTAGCTGGGTGTGGTGGTACACGCCTGTAATCCCAGCTCTTGGGAGGCTGAGGCTGGAGGATCGTAGTGAGTACAAGACCAGCCTGAGCTACACAGTGAGCTCAAGGCCAGCCTGAACTGCATAGAGAGACCCTGTCTCAAATAATAATAATAATAATAATAATAATAATCAAAAATAAAGAACCTTTTGCATGACAGAAAAAGCAACCCAGTTCAGACACAGCCTACAGAATGAGAAATATTTGTGACATATACATCTGACAAGGGGTTTGCTAACAAGACTGTCCTAGGGACTTCCAGAGCTCACTAGAAAAGAAAAAATAAATAAAGCAGTAAGGGGCTAGGGATGTGTGGCTTAGAGACAAAGTACTTGCATAGCATCTTCAAGACTCATTTTTAATCTCGCCTTCACAAGGGGGATATGGCTTACAGATCTAAATAGACATTTCTCAAGACATGTACACGGCCCACAAGGCACATGAAACAGTGCTCAACCTCGCTATCGGGACTACGCAAATCAAAAATCACACTGCAGTACTATCTTACTCCAGTAAGAGTGGCTATAATCAAAAGCAAGTGCTGGCAAGGTAAGGATATAGAAAAAAAGGGGAGTCCTTTACACATTGGTGGGAATGTAAAATCACCACCATAGGTATATCTGGAAAACAGTACAGAGGTTTCTCATAAAATTCAAAATAGAATTACAGTATGATCCAGTCATTCCATTACTGGCTACATATCCATAGAAAATGAAAAAAATCTGCATTTTCATGTCTACTGCAACAAGAAATGAAAACAATCTAAATGTCTACTTAAAGATGAATGAAAAATGTAGTACATGATACAGCAGAATACTATTCAGCCATAAAAAGGACAATATCTTGTCACTTACAATATAACATGGATGAAACTGAAGATTATGTTAAGTGAGATGAGCCAGGCACAAAAAGATTAACTATCGTATCATGTCACTATAATAATGTCACAGACATTTGAAATACAATGGTAATCCCCAGAAGCTGGGGGAAGGAGAAAGTTGGGAAGGTTGATCAGTGGGTACCAAGTTAGACAAAAGCAAGTAATTATGGCAGGCCACTGCCCAGTAGGGTGACTACAGCTAACAGTAATGTACTACATATTTCAAAAAGTTAAAAGGAAAAAAAAAAAAGATTTTGAATGTCAAATGTGAGTGGGTGTTTACGATGATTTAGATATCAGACAACACGTACAGCACATGTACTGAAGCATCACATACTCCATGTACCCTCTAGGTATGTATACTCTCTTAGGCTTTTATGTGTTAAGTTAGAATTTTAAATTTAAAAATTGAAATGCTGTTCAAATTTTAAAATTAATTTTCAATCCTATCAAAAAGTCAACTCATCTGAAGCAATCACTAGCAGAATTCAACCTCAGAGTGATTTTTCAGATCTACAAGCTACTTTTTAATCATGCAATGTGGGCTTATGTCATATCCTGATTAACAGATGGAGGCAGACTGATACTGAATCTGAATATAAGTATAAACTACCAAGCAGAAAGGTCCCACTTCCTAATCTAAGTGACCAAAGTTACACTATGCTGGTATTTAAAAAGTGGTCTATTCAGCAGGGAGTGGGGATGTGTGCCCGTAATCCCAGCAAGAAGGACTGAGAGTTCAAACCCAGCCTGGCCAATTTTAGCAAGACCCTGTTTCAAATTTTTAAATAAAGGGGAGATATAGCCAAGTGCAAAGGCCCTGACTTTAATACCCAGTACCCTAAAAAAAAGGTAAACAGTATAAATAAAAGAGATCTCTTCCATTTGAAAGACAAAGTAAGAGAATTTTCCATTACAAATGTAGAATATTTGTAACAGAGCTCATGAAATATAAGCTGCTTTTCTGTTTTTGGTAAATAACCAAAAATAAAACTTCCAGATGGCAAGGAAATTTGTAAATTTAAAGTGACAAGTGAAAAAAGACCATATTTTCTATTCCTTGCTCTGCACAGTGCTACTGACTAAACCCTGCGTAGGCACTAACTCAGACTTATTAACATGATTAGACAATGAGTGCTTTTTTCGTATTTGCTTGAAGAGGTATATATCAATTGGGGCTTTTTTTTTTTTCCCCCTATTTGAGACAGGCTCTTGCTATGCAGTCCAGGCTGGCCTTGAGCTTACTTTGTAACCCAGCCTGGTCTCAAACCTGCAATGATCTTCCTGCTTCAGCCTCCCAAGTGCTGGGATTACAGGAGTGCACCACCAAACCTGGCTTTTCAACCAGGCTTTTGAGAAACCTGCTAAAGTCTGTAAAATGTGACAAATACTTAAAAGAGAATTTTAGTGTGCTATGTGAACCACCAGGTCCAATGGAGAAGCCATTCTCCTCCATCATCTAGCCCCTTCTCCAGAGGCAGCAGGGAAGCACACGGATGTTAAAGGGGAGGGGAAGATAGACAGAAGAACAAGAGATACCAGGGGAGGAAGCATGGCAAACACCAGAAAACTAAATCCACCTCCTAACTCCTGTCTACCCTCCCCAACTCAGGGAAGGACAGGGCCATGCGTCAGCTTCACTACCAACTGGGGCAACTCACATCATCATGGAGTCAGCATGCAATAACAAAAAGCAAGGAAAAAAACAAACAAACCAAAAAAAAAAAAAAAAAAAAAAAGGGAAAAAACATAAACGACCAATTAAATTGCCAAATCTGTGCATAAAAATTTATCTAATAATCCTACTAATAATCTTAGCTGTAAAACATAAAATGAACAACATAAGCTTCCACACAAACCCCTGAAAGCCAGTATTAAACAGATTCACATATCCAGTTACTCTGACCTGCATTGTTGCTTCCATGTGCATGCACACATATATGGTAAAGTTTCAAGAGCACTCAGAGAAATGGGACTACAGCGATCTAAATACTTTAGTCAACTACAAGTGATCCAAATGTCAAACAATCTTAGGATGCAGTGGCGCACACCTGCAACGCCAGCTACTTGAGGCTAAGACACCAATTCAAGGCCAGCCTGGGCAAACTGGTGAGACTCGTGTCTCAATATTTAAAAAAAACTCGGTGGTGGAACACTTGGCCAGCACATGTGAGGTCCTGGGTTCAATCCTCAATAGTAGTAGAAAAGAAAACTTCCAACAGGCTGACATTCCTGGGCAAGTAATGAACTATCTTGCACCTGTTAGCAAAGATACCACAACATAAAGTAATATTCCTTTTTATTCTACATGAACTGTCTTTTGTAAAGTTTTTCTTTCTAAAACAAGTTCAGTTGTGGAAAAAACACACTTGTTTAAAAGATTGTTAAGTAGGAAAATAAAAACTATATGGATCAAAAGGAACAAATTTAAAAATTTCAAAAATATAACACATGTAAAAATAATGGATTATTCATTCCTTGAAGTCACTCACTCAAGACAACTTCTTAGTATGCTCAGCCTATCAATCTTCATTATGGCTTCTAGAAAAGTAGCTGCTATCGATCTATTATATCCCAGAATACTTCCTATTAGCTTCAAGTCCTATTTATGTCTCAATCAAGAGTTGAAGTTGAAGAGAGACAGCTGAAGGCTTCAAGTATAAAAAAAGGAGACAGAAATGCTAATTACCCTCATTTGACCAGTACATACTATATATTTTTTTTGAAACCACACTACTGCATAAATATTCATGATTATTACATGCTATTTAAAAACAAGATAAAAAATGGTTGAGGGTGTTTACTAAAACCTAGTATATAACCCAGAGGTATATAACATAGAGGGAATAAAGGCTTTCAATACAAGGTCACAAAAATTTGTTTTGTTCTTTTGTTTTTGAGACAAGGTCTTCCTATGCAGTTTAGGTTGGCCTTCGACTCACCGTGTAGCCCAGTCTGCTCTCAAACTCACAGTGATCCTCCTACCTCTGCTTCCTGAGTGCTGGGATTACAGGCATTCACCGCTGCACCCAGCTGAAGGTCATAAATCTTAATGAAATATCTGTAAGAACTGTACATACCTCTGTGTACATTTAATTCTGACAACAATCAACAATTATTTGTTATTAATATGTGGGTTTTTATGAAAAGTACTTATATTTATTCAGGAAATCTGCTTACAGCTATATTAGCTCAATTCAGTCCTAATTATAATTGAATCTCATTTAAAGAATGGATAAGAAACTAGAGGGGAAAAGTATCAACATCTAAGGAAAATGAGGAAGATCTCACTGTCTCTGTTACAACAGAGGTTAAATGGGACAGTAATAGTAAGACAAGAAACAATATACCGCACTGAAAATTACTCCTATTACAATTCATAGGTCAATCATAAGGATCAGTCATTTAGTGACTGCCACTGCTTTTAAATCAACAAACATTCTCAATTCAGTAACATCAGAACTCATGAAGGTAAGGGGAAAAATTACAAAATCAAAGTCATTTGTTTTCCATGCAGAGAATTTAAGATCAAGGTAGTCTTCCATTAAAGATGATTTTGTAAATTTCTAAAAATGGATAGGAGAAATTAAGTTTTGGGTCTACCTGAGTTGGTGACAGCCATTTGCCACTAAGTGTGAATGAAGGTGGGGAGGAAGATGGATAATCTGGTGGCAGTTCAAAGTTCAGCACAAGTGGAGGCAGAAAGCAAATGGTGTATTCAAAGCCACTATTCTGGAGACACTCATTTGAATTGCCTGAACCGAAAACAAAGATTAGAAAGGATCAGTTGGTCAATGCTTGAGTGTCCATTATCAGTGAGTGATACTCTCAAAAAGACTTAATGCTTTTAGTAGAGGGGATCAGACCTTCCCCTAAAGCACTTTCTAATCCCTAATTTTAACTTCATAGCCACCACCTTAAAAAAGTAAATAAATAAAAACTAATTCTGGAAAAATCTGCACATACAATGTGTTTTGTTTTCAGTACCAGGAATCGAACTTGGGACCTGTTTCTTCCCAGGCTGAGCTATATCCCTGGCCCATACAATGTATTCTTGTACACACTTCTCAGTACAATTCCTGATACTAATGACTCATACACAATGTTTATTTTGTGGTTGTTTTAAAGTAGGTGATTAAAAGACACAGCCTAAAAAAAAAAGGGACGTTTGGGCCAGGAATTTAGCTGAACAGCACAGGTCCCTTGCTTGGCAAGGGTGAGTCCAATCCCCACTACCAAAACAAAAACAAAAGAAAAAAGGATATTTATCTGTAACAAACTAACAACCATAATTTACTTAAACCAGCATGTGCCAACTGCCTATTAATCATAGTGAAGAAATCTCTGCCAATGCAATGATCTCAGGCTTCAGGACAAGACACAGCACACACTCAGCTTCAAATTTGGCTTCATTTAAATGATTATGCGTTCTTTACTCAATGCCTCTAGAGTAGACATACTGTGAAAAAGGTTGTATCAAGGTCTTCTGTGAATGTATCAAGTTTTGTTTTTATTGAAGCAAAAGACCACAAGGTAACATTATGTGCCACTTGTTGATAGCAGCTGAAATGATTCCAGAAATCAAATAGTATTGACAACCACCAGTACTTCAAAGCGTCCCAAGTGTTTTCACAGATGTATTTCATTTTCTCTTCAACGAACCTCTCTTAACTATGGATAACTCACAGCTGATAAATTCTTGTTAGAAAACAGATGCATAAAGTACGCGGGAAAGCCAGGTATAGTGGTGCATGCCTGTAATCACAGCACTCAGGAGGCCAGAGTGGGCGATGTAGTGAGTTTAAGGCCAGACTGACTTACAGGGAAACCTTGTCTCAAAAAAACATAAAAACAAAAGCAGGGAAGTACCTCAATTCAATGGTAAAAAGGTGTAATTAAACTGCAAACTATTTACCTCTTATTCTAATTTCTTTCAAAGCAAACAAAGTCTGTAATAACATCATCTATTACTAGTGCCTATAAACACAAAATGGCACATAGTTTAGACAAAATGCACTAAAAAATTGATAATATTTTCTTACATAGATTTTTCCTTAATATTTTATCAACTAACCGTTCACGAATATCTTGAAATTTTGTGGCAAATCCAAATAGATCCTGGTTTCTCCACCTTGGACAGATTCTGCTTTTCTGAATTCATCTCCATCATAAATACTTGCCAGAGCCAACAATTCATCTTCCTGAGCTTCTCGGTCTTCTGACGACATTTACTTTTCTGAGGAATTGAAAATAATCATGTGAATCTGTTAAGAACAGAAAAACGCAGTGCTGGGGAAAGTTTCTAAAACAAACATTCCTCACAAACAACTACAAGGGATTAATATCTTCAAGTTTCTGCTAAACTAAAACCAACAGCCAGGCCTACCACCCTATCAGCCTTGCAGCAGACATAGTCTTTTTCAAAAAAGGGTGGTTGTGGTGCTTTTATTTGCTGATTTTTATCAATTAGGTATTATGAATGATTTAGAAAAAAAGCACAATTCAAAAAATTTATCAAGAGGGCAAATCACAAACTACTTTGACTGGTCCACAGGACTTAGAAAAGTAGCTTATATGGGAGACAACTCCAATAACTCCCCTCGAATGCAAAACAATTACTGTGACTTTGAATTTTGAAGACTTATTTCCTTACGCTGGTATGTTGAGAGCTGGCTAGGGCATTTCCTTCTCTCTTCAATTGGCTCTAAGCATTGCAAATAAGGCTAGCAGAGGTGCTGGTATATAACCTCTACACCTGTTTCCTCGCCTAGTGTTCTCCATACCCGGACATGAGCACAGCGGGATGTTAGAGGCAGTCAGTTCTGGGAATGTCAACTGGTAAGAGCCTCAAGGTAGAGGCTATAACTCCCCAGGGCACAAGAGTTTGCAACAACTCAGTTGCTACCTTAATTAGATTATGTGAATTGACCCTTCTGCACATCTCTTTCTCTCACCTGGCTAACTAGCTAATTACCACCATCCTCACTGTCACTCATCTCTGAGCCATCTCCCTTCCTCACAAGATAATAAATTCTGGGAGAGACCTAGCATCAAGGCCTTTGTCTGCATATCCTCATGGGGATTGGACTTAGGACCCCTTGGCTGCCCTTAATTTGGAATGTCTTGGTGTCTTTACTCTCACCATGGGTTGCACTGGTGGTGGTAGATTGGAATTAATTTGTGGGATTCCAACGACATCTCAATGAGATTACAAATATAACTTTTTGGGTTGTGAGGAAAACTAGAAAGAGGATCACAATACTTGGATGACGGTATTTGGGATTACAATTTTACTTGCAAAAAAAATTGATATACAGTGTAAATTTTTGTTACGGGGGCGAGGGGGAGGACTATGCTGGACATGTTCAACAGCATCCCTTGGCTTCTGCTCACTGGACACCAATTGTGGTCCTTCCCCAAGGGTTATGACGCTACAAAACAAGTCTAGATGGGCAGCACAACTGTCCCCAATTGAGAAAACCCTGTTTTAGAGGATGTTACAGTCAAAAGATATCATACAAGAAAGTAAGATAACTAAGCAAGCCACACAGGACTATCCAACTTTTTTTTTTTTTTTTTGGTCTTTTTCCTTTTTATCGGTACCGGGGATCGAACTCACGACTGCCTGCTTGCAAGGCAGGCACTTACGCCACTGAGCTAAATCCCCAGCCCCAGGACTATCCAACTTTTGAAGGAACATCAGATTTTGTCAGATGTACAAAGCTATGAATTTTACAAGTTACCATTATTTTAGGTAACACCAACAATTAAAATATCTTGCCATTAAAAGCGTAAATCAATGCTTTTTCACTTGCAATGAATGAACGATACAGCACAATTTTAGATTATTTCAAAGGGGAAAATATGTAATGAGAATCCATAGAAATCAATAAAACAAATTACTGCTCTGTTAATTAAAATGTTGGGCATATCTGCAGTCACTCCCAACTAGAAACTTTTTAAAAAATTGAAATGTACAAAATTGAATGGTTAGGATGCAACATAGTTTTCTCATTACAAAAGGCAACATAAAAGTTAAACCCATTTCCATTTTTTAAAAACTATCCCCGCCCCAGCAATGCCAATGACTCTACTTAAGCTGCATCCTGAAGGCACAGGGCTATGTTCTGTTTGAGGTCAGTTAGTACCTGTTAATAGCAACCAGAAGGAAAGGATGTTAACACCGCAGTCTGTATTTCAGTTCCGCCTGTAATTTGTGCAAATCCCATTCATTCTCCAGCCAGTGGAGCTGAGACTGCTGAAGCTGGATAGGACGCCAAGATGTGGGACTCATATTAGACATACTATGAAAATCCTGCCATCTGCAGAAAAGAAATACGAAAGACGGTGTTAGAAACATGAAATTTAAATTCCAAATTTCCATCACCCCACCATATAAGTCAAACACATTCTAACACGAGCCAATCCTTATCTACAGCTGCATATGGGCATTACTCTCTTAGGGCAGAATGAGTTATGCCGTTAAAGGGGCAACTAGCATGTTCCCTGCCACAACAGGGGCCTTATCTGACTGCTCTCAGCCTGGGGAGGAACCCCAATGTCACATGCAAAGAGAGGCTGCTACACCCCACACAAACATCTTCGGTTTGGCTTTTTTTTTTTTGCTCTTCTTTGTGTATCCTTTCATCTCCCATGTGCCTCCAGCTTTTTCTCTACCATGCTCATGAATTAACCTTGCCCGAGGTACTCAAAGATAAAACTTTGATAGAAGGATATTTTATTTTTGGGGTAATGTTGGGGATTGAACCGAGGGCCTTAAGCATGCCAGGCTAGACCAGGAAAATATTTTAAAATGTAACAAGAACACACATGATTTTAAGTTTTTTCTAAATGTTTAAGAACAAGACTTCTGGTTTTTGTTGTTGTTTGTTTTTTCTCCAGTCAGCATCTTATTCTGTAGCTCAGGACAGCCTTGAACTCACTATGTAGCCCAGAATGGCCGAGCATTTGTGGTGATTCTCCCGCCTCAGCCTCCCAAATGCTGGGATTACAGGCATGTGCTGCCACCACATCCAGCTAGAACCAGACTTCCAAACTGGGGTTCACGAGGAAAAGGATATGTGGCCCATGAAGAGGTTATCGAAAGTCCCATGAATATCTTGAAATTAAATGAAAACATAATATTTAAACTAGATTTTCAGATCTGTGACTCTGAAATAAACTAAGAATGATACTCAAAATCAATTTACATTCATCAAGCACCTCCTTGTACCGTCCCAGCTCTTTCACACTCATGACCTCAGCTCCGTCTTCAACCATTACATGACCTTGATCCTCACCAGTTTTACCAGGTGGTAGCAGGTGGCAGTAATAACAGGATTAAGCTTTTTGCATCTTTTAACACACTTACACAAAGTGTAAGAGATGAATTTATAGAATTAGGGTTCTAGGTTAGCCACTGGCGCTGGTGTTTGTCTCCTGAGGCTTTTAAAACTCCCAATTCCCAGGCCACACCCCAGAGCAATAAAGTCAGGCCAGTAGTTTTCAGGGCTCACAGGTGGAGCCGAGGCCGAGAATCTGTGCTCAAGTAAAGCATCTTTTCAACAGTTCCTCATGATGGGGCTCACACCAGACCCCAGGTTCAGAAGCTGCCAGAAGGCGGCACTGCTCAATTCAGCAGACTACCCTCCATTTCCTTCTGATTCAACCCCAAGATCACCTCGAAGGCTCTATTACTTAGCACTTTCTAATCAGACATGTTTTTCTTTAAAATCCAGCCAAACTCTTAACTGCTCTATGACTTCACATCCCACGCATGGCATCACAGTACTTCATGAACTTACACCTCCTTTCCTACTAACCCGCACTCATTCCTCAGACAAGGGCCAAGAGTCAACTGTGTATCGTTCTCAGCTAGCGAAGACGTGCACTAGCCAGTGAAAAAATGGTACCAAACTGTGGTGAAATTCCAGCGCGCTACAATGGAGGGCCAGAAGCAGAGGGTTGGTTCAGGGAGCACTCTTAACACACCCCACTAGAAAGAGAACGTCGTGTGGGGTCACAAGAACACTAACAACAGTACAAACCGGTTACTGCTGGGTCAGGTTTCAGGCTAAGCACCTTCAATGCGTTAACTGTTGCTAGATTCCCACAAGCACACGAAATAGGTTGTGTCTGTTACACAAATGAGAAAAATGAGCGTCAGTCCCCTTTCGGCTCAAGGTCACACAGTTAAAATATAACTAAATCTGGATTTACAACACTGGTCTCGTCATCTGTAATACGGAGCCAAGAGTGAACTCTGGCTCAGTATTAGACAAGCGAACAAGTTTAATATTAGTTTGTAGCAAAGCGGAAACGGCTTCACCAGGGAGGGCAGCCCCGCCTCCACCGGGGCCGGGCTCCCCGCTCGCCCTCCAGGCCTCCCGCGGCTCCGGGCCTGGGCTCAGCCCCGGGCGGGGCTCGGACGCCGCCGCCGGTCTCCACTGCGGGCCGCCGGCGTGCACCGCTGCGTGGCGACCCGCCGAGGCCCGCGGCCGGCCCCCGCCCGCCCGGGAAGGGAGGCACGGCGCGGCCGGGGAAGGAGTGGCCCGGACCCGCGTCCCGAGCAGCACGGCCTGCACCCGCCCGGCCTCCGGAGCGCCGGGGAAGGGGCGAGCCGAGCCGCCCGGCCCCGGGTTTTGATGCTGGGGTCCACGGGGCAAGCACGCCGGCCGCCTTGCTCCGTCTCGTACCTCCGAGCCGCCGCCCGCGTCCAGGCCGAAAGTTCCGCGCCCCGCCGCTCGCTCGCTGGCCCCGCCGCCCGCCCGGCCCGGAGACGCCGGGGTCACCCGCGCGCCGCCTCTTCCGCTTTCGGAGCGGCCGGCGCGGCCGGGCGGAACCGCTTCGGCGCAGCCGCCTGGAGCGCGGCGCCCGGGGCGCCCTCCGCAGACCGCAGGTGGCGCTGCAGGCCGAGCGGGTCGCCTCCGCCGAGGCTGGGAGCTTCCGGGTACTTCCGGAGAATTTGATGCAAATGCGGGTTCTGGGCCGTCAGGCTCCGGGGATTCCTTTTAGTAGTTCTAGATGGGCCCAGGAATTAGAATTTCTGCCGGTCCGTAGAGGTGAGCGCGAGTCAGTGGTCTAACCTGGAAACAGGCTCCGGTGACCTCTTCCTCCAGGCGGACTAAGCCAGGCGTCCCAGCTCGACTCCTGCGTTAAAAATGCTGCTTCTTCTTGAGGCATTAACTCATGGCTCCTATCATAACTCAGCTCCACACTATGGGATGCTTCGAGCGCTGCAAGTGCTTTATATACATTTCTTCTATCTTCCCAAAACTTTGATTTAGGTAGCGTTTGTTATTCCTCATTTATAAAGGGCCAAACTGAGACTTGGGTTCAAGCGCTGACCCAAGACCACGTGATTATTGCAATGCTGAGTTAAAATTAAATGTCCCCCGAGTTTACACTATAAAACTAAAAGTGAATCAAAGATCAACAAAAGCTCTAAAACCCTTAGAAGAAAATGTGGGGAGTATCTTTTTAAATGTGGATTAGGCAGTAGTTTCTAAGATATGACACTAGAAGTGCAACTAACAAAAGAATACATTGGACTTACCAAAAATTTTAAAAATTGGGGCTGGGGATTTAGCTCAGCGGCATATGCGCCTGCCTTGCAAGCAAGCAGTCGTGAGTTCGATCCCCGGTACCGATTAAAAAAAAAAATGAAAAAGACAAAAAAAAATGTTTTTTAAATTGTGCCTCTGAGGACACTATCAAGAAAGGGAAGGATGACCCATTCAGAACCCCTCCTGTCTCTATTCCTGTTCCTCATTCCTGCATCCCTAGTTCCCATCCCTTTTCGCCAATAAATTTTCTACTCTTAAAAAAAAGAAGAAACTGAAGACAACCGTACAATGGACAATATTCTTAAATCATATGCCTAATAAAGGCCTGTTATCCAGAAGATATAAAGAACTCTTGCAATTCAACCAAAAACCAGGCAAAGGGTCTGATTAGCTAGCTCTTCAAAGAAGATATGTAAGTGGTTAGTAAGCAAAAGTTGGGGGCAGAATGCAAATCAAAAGGACCATGAAAACCCACTTTACACCTACTAGGATGGTTGCAATAAAAAAAGACAATTGCACTAGCCTCGATTAGCCCTTCAACAGCTCTAATTAGATTCATTATTTTACTGTTACTGACAACCCTAGAATTTGCTGTAGCAATAGTCTAAGCCTATGTATTCACCCTGTTAGTAAGTCTATATTTACATGACAGTTCCTAATGAACCACCGAACACATGCCTATCACATAGAAACCCAAGCCCCTGACCACTTACAGGACCATTGTCTGCTCTTCTACTCACTTTGGGCTTAACTATATGATTTCACTTTAAGACATTACAAACATTAAATTTCCTAACTGATGCCCTCACCATATACCAATGGTGAAGGGACATCGTCCTGGGAGGAACATACCAAGGCTATCATACAACCACAGTACAAAAAGAGCTGCGATATAGAATAATCCTATTTATTGTCTCTGAAGTATTCTTCTCAGGCTTTTTCTGAGCCTTTTACTATTCCAGTCTGGCTCCAACTCCAGAATTAAGTGGTTCTGACTGCCCACAAGGATTAAACCTTAACCCCCTTGGAAGTGGCCCTTCTTAATACGTCAGTCCTGCTAGCATCAGGGGTATCAATCACTTGATCACATCACAGCTTAATAGAAGGCAATGAAAACAAATAATTCAAGCTCTAACCATTATAATTATATTAGGCATCTACTTCACCCTACTTCAAGCCTCAGAATATTTTGAAGCATCACTCTACACTTCAGACGGGGTTTATGGGTCTACTTTTTCCATCGCCACGGGATTTCACGGTCTACGTGTAATTATTGGATGCACATTTCTAGCTGTATGTCTCCTTCACCAACTATACTATCACTTCACATCAAAGCACCACTTTGGCTTTGAAGCAGCTGCTTCACACTTCGCAGATGTGGTATGGCTGTTCCTCTATGTCCTCTATGTCTCCATTTACTGGTGAGGTTCATGCTTTCATAGTATCACTGATTCCAATCAGTGGGCCTCCGAACACACCTGAGAGAAAGCACGAACGGTTATAATCTCCTCCTCACCAACTACCTCCTGACCCTTTTATTAATCACAATCGCATTCTGACTTCCTCAAACAAACGCTTACACAGAAAAAACCAGCCCTTATGAATGCAGGTTTGATCCAACAGAATCCGCACAACTGCCATCTTCAATGAAATTCTTCCTGATTGTAATCACCTTTCTTCTATTTGATCTATGAATTGCCCTTCTATTCCCCACTACCATGAGCATCCCAAATTAGTGACCTAAAATTAATATTGTTAGTCTCACTAATATTGGTCTTAATCCTAACATTAGGCCTAGCATACTAATGGACCCAAAATGGTCTAGAATGAACTGAATATGGTGATTAGTTTAACAACCAGAACAAATGATTTCAACTCATTACATTACATTTTAATTCATAATTACCAAAAATGTCCTCAATTCACTTTAACCTGACTATAGCTTACACCATATCATTTCTAGGTACCATAACATACCAATCCTACATAGTATTCTCCCTCAGTTGTCAGTTAGGCACAGTTGTGTGTGCCTATAATCCAGCATTCTGGGAGGCTGAGGCAAGAGGATCAAAAGTTCAAACCCAGCCTGAGCAACATATCAACTATTCAATGAGACTTTGTCTCAAACTAAAACATTTAAAAAGGGGGAATGTCGGTGTAGCTCAGTGCAAAGACCTTGGGTTCAATCCCTGGTGTATGGGGGAGTGAAAATAAAGAATTGGTAAGGATGTAAAGAAATTAGAAACTTCAAATACTGCTAATTGAGATGTAAAATAGCACAGCCACTTTGAAAGACTTTGGTGGGTCCTCAAAAACTTAAACAGAGTTTATTGAGAATCAGCAATTCTAGTCTTTGACATACTCAAGGGAATTGAAAACATGTTTGCACAAAAGCTTGTACATGAATATCCTCATCAATAATATTCAGAAGAGCTAAAAAGTAGGGAGAATCCAAAGCCTTCAACAGTCTATGAATGGATTAACTCAATGTGGCATATCCATGCAATGGAATATTATCCAGCAATAAAAAGGAGTAGATTAATGATACAGGCTTCAGCACAAATGAACCTTGAAAACATGCCAAGTAAAAGATGTCAGACAGGGGGCTGGGGATTTAGCTCAGCGGTATAAGCTCCTGCCTTGCAAGCGTGTGGTCGTGAGTTCAATTCCCAGTACTGATAAATTAAAAAAAAAAAAAGTCAGACACAAAAGACCATATATTATATTTTTGCATTTATATTAAATGCAAAATGAAAAAGCAAATCAATAGAGACAGAAAATAGTAATGGTTTCCAGGGACTAAAGCAGGAAGAATGAGGGCGTGACTATTAATGGGTATTTCAGGGGAGAACAAAAATGTTTTAGAATTAGGGAATGATAGTTGCATAACTTTATGAATGTTCTAGACACTCCTGGATTGTGCATTTTTAAGGATTAATTTTATTACATGTGTTATATCTCAATTAAATTATCTTAGGTACAAAGCACTGTTTTCAGCATCTAAATTGGAAAACATATCTGCTCCAGGGAATCATCAAAATAATGTGCTTGTAATGATTTAATAAGTGCCTGTGTCTTCCTCATCCTATGTTATTTCTCCCAAACGTAACTTGCAGAACTTGGACTGTCCAAGCCCACAGGATTCTACAGCTGTTATTTGCCTCTCAGGACCAACACTCGTTGCTGATTTTCTGTATAAGTCTGTGTGACTGTGTGTGTGTGGCTCTGGCGATTGAATCCAGGGCCTCACACATGGTAAGCAAGGGCCCTACCGCTGAATTACACCCCCCATCATTTTTATTTTTATTTGTGATAGGTTCTTCCAGAGTTACCCAAGCTGGGCTCAAACTTGCTGTCCTCCTCCCTCAGCCTCCCCAGGATCTGGGATTACAGACATGCACCACTGTGCCCCGCTCTATGTACTATAGATCTTAATTGTCACAGAACAGAAAACTATCCCAAAATAGATCCCAGAACCAGAAACGTACCCCTTAAAAATGCAAAGAAAGAAAGGAGGAAGGATCTCCAAAGTCATTCGTCAGTGTCATTATTTAAGTTTAGCCAAAGGAATAAAACCACATGGCAGCCCTACCTTAGAGTGCTCAAGAGATAAGACCGGATGAGCCCCAGAAATCTCTTAGTCTCAAAAAGGAAGTCTAGGAACCAGTTTGGGAAATTGTCATGTAGTTGGAGCAGGGAGTGAATTGTGACATCATGTCATGACCTCGTGTCAGAGGTCACAGGATAGAGAGAGGAGAGAATTTCAAAGCAGGGCTAACAATTTAGTAAATACTAAAAGTGAATTAAGAGTTTTGGTCTGTTTTTGAATAAAGAAGGTCTTTGAATTTTTTTCTCTCTCCTTTTTTTTGGTTTTAATCTTTTTGAGACAAGGTTTCACTATACAGTTTGGGCTGGCCTTGAACTCACTTGTAGCCCAGGCTATTTTTGAACTCATGGTGATCCTCCTGCCTCAGCCACCAGTGCTGGAATCACAGGCATGTATCACCACGCCTGGCCTTGGTGGTTTTGTTTTTTTGTTGTTGTTGTTTTTTGAGACAGGATCTTACCATGTAGTTTGAGCTGGTCTTAACTCACTGTGTGGACCAGGCTGGCACCTAACTTGAGGTGATCCTCTTGCTTCATCTCCTGAGTTCTAGGATTCCGAGTATGTGCCTCCATACCTGGCCACATTTTCTCTTTGGACTCCAAGAAAATAATAGGCTTCTGTGTCTTTGGCTTCTTACACCTGGTTAGTCTCTTATAATGAGCTT